ACATGTACCAGTACCTTTGAGAACCTGCTCGGTGTCGTGGGGGACTTCTGTCCCGCTGTCTTTCTCGTATCGGGCCCCGGCTCACCAATAACACATACTTACGTCTTGGGTATTGGGGCGGAGGGCACAGGTGGCGTCGGACTCTTCGTCGGCCCACTTCTGTAGCATGAACTGAGTATAGGCCCAACGCGTGTACACTTTACCATATCTAGAAACGCCATCGTGCCACAACCCTGGCTCCTGGATGCAAGTCGTATGCCCTTCGAATATCGCGCGGCAGCCTTGTGGAAAGACTCCATTCTTGCGAAGGCCTCCCTGATCGAGTCTGCTTTTCTGGCTTCCTCCTCTCCTGCCCCCCTCCCACTGTCCCCTCTTCCTTTGTTTTCCTGGCCCTCCTCCTCCTCGTGCTGCTGCTGCTGCTTCTCCGCCTCGTCCTCCTTACCACTTCGTCTGCTGCTGCTGCTGCTGTTCTTCCTCCTTCTCCTTTCCCGTTCTTCTCCTCCTCATTCCCCCTCACCCTTTTCCTTTTCCTGCTCCCTCCTCCATCCTCCCTCCTCCCTGCTCCCTCCTTCTCCCTCTTCCTCCCTCCTCCTCCGTCCTCCTCCCTCCTCCTCCCTCTTTCTCCCTTCTCCGCCCTCCTCCCCCCTCCTTCGCCTCCCTCTTTGTCCTTCTCTTCCTCCTCCTCGCTCCTCCCTCCTCCCTCCTCTCCCCTCCCTCCTCCTCTTCTTCCTCCTCCTCCCCATCCTCCCCCCTCCTCCTCCTCCTCCTCCTCCTCCTCCTCCTCCTCCTCCTCCTCCTCCTCTTCCTCTTCCTCTTCCTCCTTTCCCCCCCTTCCCCCGCGTCCTCTTCCTGCCCAGGAGGGGGGCACCTCCCGCTGCTTCGCCATGTACACGTGGTCGAGGCTCTGCCGCACCTGGTTCTCCATGTCCTCGATCAGGCGCCCGATGTGTGGCAGGTGCATGTCCTCGGCGCGCGCAGGCGGAGGGGAAAGGATGCGGCGAGGGCATTTCTTGTTTTTCGCCGCTGGTCTGCGGACGCAGGCTTACTGGTACAAAAGAGTTCGGCTGGCCCACGGCTCGGCCGTGCGGCATCCGCGGTGCAACGCACGGCCTCCAGGAAAAGGGGCGTGGGCGCGCGCGGAGAGGGCACTGGATAACTAAGGAACCATCGGATAAGGAATCCAGGGTCTGGAAGCCGCGGGAACACCAACCGAGTCCTGACCATGGATGTCACCGCCGCCCCGATCGGACACATTCCTTAACGAACGCCCCCGCGGGGGGGGGGGGGGGGGCTGGCCTTGGGGGCAACGTTGCCCTGGGACTGGCGATGCATCGTCGATGCGCCGGTGACAGGCCCTCGGCTTCGAGGCGGCACGCTCCAGGGCAGCGAGGGGCACCCAGGCGCTGGGGGTCGACGTCTCCCCCCCGCTCGATCTCGGGAGCGGCCAGGAGGGGGGTGTCCAAGAAGGGGGGGGTGCAAATCATGACCGGCGGCCTGCGGACGGCACCCGAGGGGGGGGGGGGGGGGCAGGGACGCAACGGAGCAAGGAGAGGCGCCACGAGATCCGAGGGAAATCTCATGGCCCACGCCCTGATGTCCACCCCCCCCCCCTAGTCACCACCCCCCTCGCTGGCACATGTAGAGACCTCCTCTCGGCGGTGGGCGAGCCTCCCTGTCAGTGAACCTCCCTTCAGTGAGAGCGGCCTGGGGCCGAAGCCGACGGACCTGGACCCGCAAGAATGACGGCCGCGACGCCCTCTCGCGAAGCGAAAACTTTGCCGCCCCCGGGCTCGAGGGGGCCACCGCTGGCGCGGCCCGCAGAGCTCGAGCCGCGCCGGCGGCCGGGGCGCGGCGCCGCCAGGGAGTTGCGGCCACGCGCGGCCAGGCGCGCGGTGTGTTGCCCCCGCTTCGCGCCTCGCGCCCCGCGGTGCGCGGTGCGCGGCGCCCTCTTTTTGGTCGGCGGTTCCCAGGCGCCCTCTTTTTGGTCGGCGGCTCCCAGGCGCCCTTTTTTTGGTTGTGCGCGGTTCGCGCCTTCGCGCCCTCTTTTTGGTCGGTTGTGGTTCCCAGGCTCCCAGGCGCCTTTGGTTGGTTGTGCGCGGTTCGCGCCTTCGCGCCCTCTTTTTGGTCGGCGGCTCCCAGGCGGATGTCAGGAAGCGGGTCGACAACGAACGGGGCGCGAGCGAGGCTAATTGGCCGCAGTGGCATGTGCACGTGCAAGGGACAAAATGACCCAAGTTAAACGACCTTCGCGCCCCCGCGCCGCTCCCCAAAGCAGGGCAGATGCTCTGACCCAGACCGCGACGCGCCAAGCGGGTGACCTAGATGTAGGTCGGGCGTGTCCTCCTGCAGGCGGATTTTGGAAGACAGATGGAAACTAGCTGGTGAACAAGAAACTAAGACGTGGGCAGACATAGTAGAAACATCGTCCCCAGACTACTTTTGACGATCTTTGATTTGTCCCCCCGTAGAGGGACATGCCCGACTTAAACCTGGATCTAGAGGCCTCCTGGTTGGGGTCCGAGAAGATGGGGTCGGAGGATCGCGCCGCATCGCCGATACATCGGCGATGCATCGGCCATGCATCGGCGATGCACCTGCGGTGCCTCGTCGACGTGGGCGATGCATCGGCAACGTCGATGTGAAGCAAATCGGACTCCACATCGAGCCGCATTGGTGATGCATCGGCGATGCGGCGTGAACCTCCGAACCCATCTGCCCCGACCCCATCTGGGAGCCCTAGAAGATCCGCGGTGCCGAGCCTGCGGAGGCAGCCCGCTGGATGCATGGACCTGCGGATGGGGCCACTGCCCTCGCCCGGGCCAGGCGCGCCGAGCGCGACAAGAGCCCCGAGGTGCCCGCGGCGGACTCCTGCAGTGGCGACGGGCGAGCGTCGGCTCCTTCGGCGGCGGGCGAGGGGGGCGAATGGAGAAGGCGCTGTCGGTTTTCGAAAACCCAGAACTTCGAGGTTCTGGTGTTTTCGGGAATCGTTGCAATTTCTTGGCGGCTTTCCGGCCTCGGGATGCGTTCCAGCGGCTGCGCCTCGCCGAGGGCGTTCCGGGGGTGCCCAGATCGTCCCGAACGGAGACCCGAGCTACGACCTGAAAATTGAACTCGGCGGCGCGCCCAGGGGGGGAAGTGAGAAGGAGAATGCCTTCTCAGAAGACGGCGGGGCTTCTCAGAAGCCCTTGCGCCTTCTGACGAGCTTTCTGCGCCTTCGGGGAAGGGCTCAGGAAACTCCTCGGAAGGCCGGGGGACTCCCGAGCCTTCTGAGAAGGCCCGCCCCTTCTCACTTCCCCCCTCCCAGCTGCCTAGGAAAAGGCGGGGATGGCTGGGGCACCCTGGCCGTCTCCTCCCAGCAGTCTCAAGGCGGGCGTGGCAGCAAGCAGACGGGCAGCACCGCATGTCTGCTCACATCCGGATCCTCACGGCCCACTCCAACTCCTGAAGACGTGCCCTGGAACCGCGAGCGCTCGGGGACCGAGAGCGGGAGCCTCGCTGCGACGCTCGGATCGACCTGTCCCAGAGCCGACCAGCGGGCCCTGGGATAGTGTGGGATGACGATTAAGAAAAAAAGGAGGGGGGAACGATTAAACAAATAGTTTCCCACACCGGGGGGGAACGCTCAGAGGCAGGGCTCGCCTGTGCGGTGTTTCGTCACAGGGGGGGCGCGCGCCCAAGGACGGCGGGGGGGGGACGATTAAAAAAACAGTTTCCCAGCCCGGGTCCGGTTTTTTTCTAATCATCGTCCCGGGCGCCGCCGCGTGAACACGACTCCCGGTCATTTTTTAATCATCATCCTCCATTAGAAGGGGGCCGGCCGACCAGCCTCAGGAAGGCTGTCCGTTGCGATCTCCCCTTCTGGCGGGCGAAGATCGTAGTCACGTCAGCTTCCCCGCCAACGCCAGCGCCTGCGCAGGGCGCCCTGGGACAGGCGTCCCCGACGGAGGAACAAGCTGCTGAATTAGAGGAGCGAACCACGGCACGAGTGACTACCTACCAGACCACCCCAACCCAACCCGAAGACCCGAATTTCGGGTTGGGGGGGGGTATGGGCTCCATATGTGTTTTTTCGATGTTCCCGGACCCCCCCACACTAGAAATCGAGGGTAAATCTGAGCCTTCGGGTTGGGTTGGGGTGGTTTGGTGGGTGGTGAACGAGCATAAACCTCTGGAGGTCCGCGCAGATTTCTTGGCTCTGCGCGCTGAACCCCCCCCCCTCCCTGGCGCGCGGAGCGCGCCAGGGGCGGCGCCGGAGGGCCGCCGCCCAGGGGCTTCCAGCGCAGCTCCGAGAAATCCGCGAGGGGCGTCGAACATTTGTGCTGATGCTGTTCTTTCTTCTTCGATTCGTACCGTTCGTCGTCCGTCTACAGCGGGGGCCCGTCCACAAGAAACCGTCCACAAGACACCCAAGCCCGAGACCCCAGGACGTCCGTGGATGTTTGGCGTGGGAGCGTCAGGCTTTCCATAGCAGAACCATCGACACCCCAGAAACCCAGGGCACCCTGGAGGCAAGCAGGGTGTTTCTTGGCATGGGTCCCCACTGTATCCTTGACGCCGGGCGTCCAGACCCCGCCCGAGGTCCTCCGCTGACTTCTTGTGCCTGCTGGCGTTCTTCTCGGCCTGCCGGGTGATGTGGCCGGCCAGCTCGGACTCCTCCGGGGGAGGGGGCTGCGGGAGGGCTGCGAGGGCGAACTCCTGCGGTAAGACGAAGCCAGGACGAGGATTAAAACCGGACGAGGATGGATCGGGCATCTCCGAGCCCTGTCGGTTCTGGGGGATGTCTCGGGCGCCGCAGCCTCCTCGGAGCGCTCTGGAACGCTCCGAGAGCGTGCCGGTTCGCCCTGGATCGGATTGATCCTCGTCCCAGCCCCGCCAGATATCGGCTCCGAGAGCGTTCCGGTACGCCCTGGAACGGATTGATCCTCGTCCTAGCCCCGCCCGGTATCGGCCCTTCGATCAGTGACGGCGGCGGCGTCGGCGGCCACGGCGGCCAACGGCGACGGCGGCGGCGAGGGGCGCTCGGGGAGCCGATCGGGGCGGGCCCCGAGCGGCTCTTCTGCTGTGTTTTGTGGGAGATTGGATCGGGACAGGTTTCGGCTCCATCGAGTGGCGCCTTGCTGGATGCGCGGCGGGGGCCCGCATTGCTATTGCCCTCCTCTTTCTCCTCCCCGTCCTCCTCCTCCTCCTCCTCCTCCTCCTCTTCCTCCTACCCCCCTGCCGTTCCCCCGTCTCTTCCTCAGTACTCTCGTCCTGCTTCCCCCTTTCCTCCTGCTTCTTCCTCTCACTGTCCGTCCCCTCCACATCGATTCCCTCTCCTGCTCCTGTTCCCTTCTCTCCTCTCCTCTCCTCTCCTCTCCTCTCCTCTCTTCTCTCCTCTCCTCTCCTCTCCTCTCCTCTCCTCTCCTCCTCTCTCTCCTCCTCCTCCCCCTCCTCCTTCCTCCTTCTCCTCCTTCTCCTCCTCTCCTCGTCTTCCTGCTCCTCTGCTCCTCTCCTCCTCCCCCGTCCTCCCCCGTCCTTCTCCTCCTCCTCCTCCTCCTCCTCCTCCTCCCCAGTCCTCCTCCTCCCCCGTCCTCCTCCGCGTCCCCGTCCCAGTCCCCCTCGTCCATTCCTGATTCATATGTAAGGCGGGCCAGGCGTTTCGCCTGAGAGTTCCCTTCTTCAAATAAACCTCCAGCTTGACATTTGCAGATCTTTCGCGGATGCAGGGCGGGCCGTTTTCAACATCTGGCTCTCGCCTCAGCGCCGCGCGCACTCGTCGCAAAGGTTTGGAGAAGCTTCGCGCGTGGATGGCGGGCAAGTTTCAGACGTGTGGCTCTTGCCCAGGCGCAGCCCTCACCCGCCTCAACCGTTTCTGCAAGAGCTCCACGGGTGGAGGCGGCTCCTCTTCTCAGACGCGGCTCGCGCCTTCGCGCCGCGCACACTCGCCGCAAGCTTTCGCAGGAGCTTCGAGGATTCTTGGCGTTAGCGTCCCAGACATGGTGTCTTGGCACAGTGCAGGGCTGTGGGGGCACAGAAATCGCGTAGAGTCGCGGTGTTGGGTTCCATTGGTGCTGCTCTGGCACGGTGCAGGACGGTCAGGGCGCAGCAGCAACTTTGATTCGCGGCGTTGATCCTGGGAGCAATGCTTTTGCACGGTTCAAGATTTCCAAACGGCTGTTTTCCAACGGGGCATTCCCTCAGTGAAAATAATTTGTTGTAGGGGCTGGTGATGAAGGAACCTGGAGGGGGGGCCTCATTGCTACATCGTTGGTAAACCCTGGCTTTACACTGGTCCTCCTCATTGTTTTCTCCGTCTTCCTCCCCGTCCCCGTCCCTTCCCTCCATTCATTATATAAATAACTCTTCGCCGTCGCGCAGCCCGAGACGTGCCGGTAAGGCGGGCCAAGCGTTTCGCCTGAGAGTTTCTCACGGCTTGAAGCCCTCAATATTGACAGTTGCAAGTGTTTCACGGATGGAGGGCGGGCCGTTTTCAAACTCTGGCTCTTGCCTTAGCGCCGCACGCATTCGGTCAAACGTTTGTGAAGGGGCCCCAGGACACACAAATAAATACACACAAATAAAAGGACTCCCCATATTTTCCCATATTTTTGGGGTTCTTCTCTTCCCCCCCACTTCCCATATTTTTGCATATTTTCCTGGGAGTCGACGGTTAATTGTGTCTGTGTGTTTCTTTTCCTCCTGAGTTTGGAAGAATTTCACGAATGGAGGGCGGGTGGTTTTCAACCTGTGGCTCTCGCCGTAGCTCCGCGCACCGTCTCATTCAACATCTGCAAGAACTTCGCGGATGGAAGGCGGGTGGCTTCCAGCATGTGGCTCTTGCCTGAGCTCCGCGCGTCGTCGCCTTAAGCTGTGCAAGGGTCTCACGGGTGGAGGGATGCCACTTTTCAAGATGTGGCTCTCGCCTCAGCGCACCCCACGTTCGCTGCAACAACATGCAAGAGTTTCGTTTCTGGGAACCGGATCCTTTTTTCAAACGTGGCTCTCGCCTTCGCGCTGCGCACATTCGTCTTCAGAGTCTACAGCAATGTCAAGGACTCGTACGGTTGACATCCCAAACACTCTGCTTTTGGCGCGACATAAATCTGCCAGGATGCACCGGCCACGTTGATTCGCGGTGTTGCAATTTCAATAATGGTGCTCTGGCGCGGTGCAGGATCGTGAGAACGCAATAATAAATCCGATTCGCGGCGCTGAAGACCCGGGAATTGTGGTTTGGCACGATTCAAGATATTCACACGGTTGTCTTCCAGCCGGGAATTTCCCTCAGTGAAAACAAATCGTTGTGGGGGCCTACGATGAGGGAGCCTGGAAGGAGGGTTCATTTCAACATCGTTGGTGGGTCTTGGGTTTGCACTGGTCCTCCTCCTCCTTCTCCTCCTCCTATCATTCTCCTGCTCCTGCTCTGAACCGTGTGTGCGAACAATGGCACATTTCTCGATCGGGATACGCCACAGTGGTTGCATGTACAGGATTCGCCTTGCAATTATCTCCTCCTCCTCCTCCTCCTCATGATCCTCCCCCCTCTTCCTCCTGGGGGGAGAGAGACCTTGAGGAGGGAACGGGACGAGGATGACGAAGAACATGTACCATGATGGTGAAAGTAGCGATGCTAATAATGATGGTGCGGGTGACGACGGGGATATTGTTCCCCACATCCTAAGACGGGCTCTTGTTTTCTCTGGACACCCCGCGCAGTCTTCCTCCTCCTCACCCCCTCTCCTCCCCACACACTCACACACCATCATCAGTATCGTCATCATCATAGTCCTCACCACAATCATCACGATCATCATCATCACTTGCCATCCCACTACATCCCCAATCATCATCATCCACCCGCTCTCTCATTCATTCACGTTCTCCCATAACACATTCAGCATCATGTCCTGATCCCATCATGGTCATCGGACATCAGCATCATCATCGTCATCCTAGCCCGCGTCCGCCACCATCGTCATCACCATCACCATCCCATCATGATGGGGCCTGTCTCCCGCGAGCCATCCCATCACCATCCCACCACCATCACCGCGACCCCTCTTCCTATAGGGCCCGCACTTCATGTTGGTAATCCGAGCAGGTCATCGGCAGCCTGTAAACTGGCGTCATTTTTAAGCCCTTCCGCCCTGGGTATGGAGGAAGTCTCGAGCGGGAACTTCGTCTTTGAGTGAATTGTGAGGAAATCTCGGGCGAGAGCCCCCCCAGTACGGGGTCCGCAGTTCACGCAGGTAATCCGAACTGATCATCTGGACCCTGTACAGGTAGTTATATTTTCGGATTTTCTGGCCTGAGTGCGGAGGGAATCTCAGGCGGGAACATCGTCTGTGAGTGCATCGCGAGGAAGTCTCAGGCGGGAGCCCCTTCCCTATGGGGCCCATCCCTCATGTTGGTAATCCGAAGGGGTCGTCGGGACCGTGTACGTGTCGTTGCATTTGTGCTTTTCTGGCCTGGATATGTCTCGGGCGGGAGGTTCGTCTGTGAATGAATTGCGGGGAAGTCTCAGACGAGAGCCCCCTTCCGTAAGGGGTCCGCGCTTCACGTTGGTAGTCCGAGCGGGTCGTCGGAAATTTGTGACTATTGTCGTTTTCGGCTCCTCTCGGCTGAATTTGGAGGAAGTCTTAGGCGGGAACTTCGTCTGTGAGTGAACTGCGAGGACGTCTCAAGCGGTAACCCCCTCGCTATCCGCACTTCACGTAGGCACTCCGAACGGGTCATCAGAATCTTGTAACCGTCGTCGCTTTTCGTTTGCGAGGAACTCTCAGGCGGGAGCCCTCTTCACTACGGGGTCCGCATTTCATGTTGGTAGTCCGCGCGGGTCATCGGGATCCTCTAACAGTCGTCATTTTTCGCTGGATTGAATACGGGGGAAATCTCAAGCGGGAGCTTCGTCTGTGAGTGAATTGCGAGGCGGGGGCCCCCTCCCTATGGGGCCCGCATTTCATATAGGTAATCCGAACGGGTCATGGGAATCTTGTAACTGGCGTCACTTTTCAGCTCCTCTGGACTGACTGTGGAAGAAATCTCAGGCTGGAGCTTCGTCTGTGAGTGAATTGCAAGGAAATCTTAGGCGAGAGCCCCCTCAGTATGGGGTCCGCACTTCGCGTTGGTAATCCGAACGGGCCATTGGAACCTTGTAACAGTCGTCGCTTTTTTCGGCCCCTCTGAGCAGAATCTGGACTCCAGGGCTGAGGCGGAGCAGCTCGCGGCAGAGCTGGGCTTCGTGCTGCCTGCCGCCTGCGCCGGCCGCGACTAACTCGGTGCCTGCGGGGTTGTCCCAACGGCTTGCTCTCGCGCCTCAGCGGCTCGCGGGGTTGTCCCAGGAGCCGTTGCCCCGACGGCTTCGCGATTTGCCATCGGAGAACGCGCCCCTGCCGGGCGCGGTGGGGATGGCGCCGAGGAAAATCGGCATGCGCTCCCCTGCCGGGAGGAGAGAGAGGTGCATGAGGAGAACAGGCGGGATGGAGATGAGGGGGGGGAGAAGGAGGAGATGGAGGAGGAGGAAGTGGAGGAGGAAAAGGACGAAGAGAAGAGGAGACATTGAACAAGGAGGGCAAGCAGGAGGAGGAGACGGAGGACGAGGAAAACCAGGAGGATGAGGAAGAGGAGGCGCGACAGAGGGCGAAACGGGGGGCTTCGGCCAGGGTGAAAAGGAAAGCGCGAAGGGCAATCTACATCTACTTTCGTTGGGGGTCCTACCGTCGGAATAATTTTGTGACGATTGTCCCGCGAGGGAGGACAAGCTGAGGAGCAGGAAAGGGAGAAACAGGAGGATGAATGCTTTTGGTTGCAGGCGCGGAGAGAGGTCAACCTCCTGCTCCTGTTCCTCCCCGTCCTGTTTATACTCCTCGTCCTTTTCCCTGTCCTGTTCCCCTCCTGCGTGCTCTCCTCCACCGCGCCTCTGTCCTTCCCCTCCTGCCTTCCCTCCTGCGCCTTATCATCCTCCTCCCTCCTCTACCTTCCCTCTTCCTCCTCCTCCTCCTCCTCCTCCTCCTCCATCCCTGTTCTTGAAAAACAACTCCCTCCTTGTCGCGCCCTTACGCGTGTCCTGGTAGGGTGCGTTGGGCGTTTCGCCTGAGACTTCCTCGCCGCTTATGGTCCTGAAGCTTGAAGTTCGCAACAGCTTCACGAATTGAGGGTGGGTGGTTTTCAACATGTGGCATTCGCCCTAGCGCCGCGCACATTTGTAGTACATGTTTGTAACAGCTCCAAGGATTGAGGGTGAGTGGTTTTCTGTGGCCCTAACTCTAGCTCCGAGCGCATTCGTTGTTCAAAGTTTGCAGCGGCTTCAAGGACAGCGGGCTGGCGGTTTTCAACATGAGGCTCTCGCTTCGGCGCCGCGCACAATGTTTTAAATGTTCGCAGCATCTTTCAAGATGAGGGTGGGTTCATTTTCGAAGTGTGGCTCCCGCCCTAACGCAGCGCACATTCGTCTTGAAAACTTTGCAGCAATGTCACAGATAGAGGGCGGGGTGGTTTCAAAATGTGGCTCTCGCCGTAGCGCCGCGCACATTCGTCTCAAACGCTTGCGACAACTTCAAGGATGGAGGGCGGTTCTTTTTCAGCATGTGGCTCTCTCTTTGAAGCCGCGCTAACGCTGGACACATAAGTTTGACAAGTTTACATCGGCTTGAAGGGTTCGTATGGTCGACGTCCAAGAATGGTGTCCTGGCACGATTTTGGGTTGTCAGGACGCAACTGCCACTTTTATTTGCGGTGTTGAAGTCCTAAGAATGTGCTCTGGCACGGTTTAGGCGCGTCAAGATGCAACTGTAATTTTGATGCGCGGCGGTGAAGTACCACGAATTGTGTTTGGCACGGATCAATATTGTCAGACCGTTGCCTTCCGATGGGCCACTTCCCGTAATTGATACACAGTATTTCAGAACCTATGAAGAGGGACCTTGGAGGGAGGGCTTATTGCAACATCGTTGGTGCGTTCTGGGTTTGCACTGGCCCTCCTCTTCCTCCTCCTCTCCTTTCCTGTCTCCTCCTCCTCCTCCTCCTCTTCCTCCTTCTCCTCCTCCTACTTCTTCTCCACCTACCACGTCTGATTTGCAAGCTCTTCTCCACCTCCTCCACCTTCTCCCTCTCTTCACCCCCCCTATCAGGGAGGTCCCCGGAGGTCCCCAGAGGTGTGCTACGGGAGAAATGAAGCCCTCCACCGGCGAACGAGCGGACGAAACGACCAACGAGACGGCAAGGAGTCAAGGCCCGATTCCTACTTTCTTCTTCCTTCCCTGCGCTGTGGCGAGACTGACTCATTCATCCAATCTGCGTGCTGTTCCTCCTCGTCCTCCGCCTTCCCCTCCGCCTCCTCCGCCTCCTCCCCCCCCCCGTCCCCTCCCCCCCCCCTCCCTCCCCTCCCCTCCCTTTCGCCTCCCTTCCTTCTCTCCTCCTCCTCCCCCTCCCCTCCCTCCTCCCTCCCTCCCCTCCTCTCCCTCGGGCGCGGCGCGCCGCGTCTCCTCCCTGCCCCTCTCCCCCATCTCCATGTGCAGCAGCACCGTGGTGGAGATCTGCGCACGGGGCCGCCCGCGCGCCAGGCCCGCCCGCCCGGGCGCGGGCCTCGACCGAGGCCCGCTGTCGGCGCTCGGCCAGAGCTCGCGCCGACCTCGGGGCCGAAGCCCAGCTGAGGGGCAACGATAGGGGGGGGGGACTGGCATACGGGGGGGAGGCATCGACCTGGAATCGGCGATGCATCGCCGATAGATCGGCGATAGGCCCCCGATAATGAATCCGCACCTTCCTGGGCCTGTTGGGGCTATCGGGCCCCTATCGGCGATCACTGGGCGATTGGGAGTCGGTGCATCCCCTCTTATGCCTATCCCCTCCTATCGTTGCCCCTGACCAGCGGGCCGAGCCGATCAACCGGGCCGAACCGCTCGGAGCCCTCGCGTCGGTCGTGCGGAGACTCCTGGGGTTAAGTCGGGCGTGTCCCCCTACAGGGGGATTTGCGACAAAGAATAAAACATACGCCACAAATGCCCCCAAATGCTAAAAAAGAACAGAAAAATAGTCCCCCGACGATCCTTTGACTATCTTTGAATCTTCCTCCTGTGGAGGGACAGGCCCGACTTCCTCCTGGGGCCGAGGCGAGCCCACCGATCGGGCCGGAGCGGTCGAGGCCCATCGCGGGTCGGGGGCCCCTCGGGCGGAGAGCGGGCCGGTCGGCGCCGCGCGAGGGCATCGGCGCGTGCGCCCTCGAGCGGGCACGCACCCGAAGCTGCGCGACAGGAATCGGGCAGGGACCGAGCGTCCCGGCATCCCTACAGTCCTACCACGGAATGTTCTTAGAACCCAAGCATGTTCTGAGAACGAAAGCAATGTTCTTGGAGCATAGGCCCGATGTGATAAAACAAGAGAGTCGCAGCCAGAAATGTGCTAAGAACAGTTCGGGGAAAACAATAAACGCTCTCAGAACATTGTTTGGTGGGGCTACAGGCGAGCCAGGACGCTTCGCCACTCCTTGAAGGAAGCGCCCGCCCGCATCGAAGAAACACTGCCTCTCCCCACGGCAGTCGTGACGACTTCGGACGTGGTCTCCGACGTCGCTCGCATCGCTCCACCCTGCACCATCGGCTCTCCCCGCCAGCGCGGATCTCTCGGCAGCGGCTGGCCCGCGCCATTCCGCCTCGACCGCCAGCGCAGGTCCGCCGCCGCGTCGACACGACGCGCGCCTGCCGCACCCGACAGCGCGGGCCCGGTGGGTCTTGGGGCAGCAGCTCCGGACCCGCCCAGACCGCCCAGACCGCCCCGCCTGCCGCCGCCGTCGGGCTCCGCGAGGCCCGGAGGATCCGCGGGGCCGAGAATCCCCACGCGCCGGGCCATGGCGGTACAGCGCCAGGCGACGGCAGCAGGCCACGACAGATCGTGCAGGCCTTCCTCGGTGAGGATCGCTCGAAGCCACGCAGCTCCATCCTTGGAGGGTTCTCTTGGGGGCAGCCTGCACGCCTCTAGGGGCGGTCATGGGGCCCTCGAGGATCATCTTGAAACGTTTCGGGAGCAACTTCGGCGCTGGAGGAAGCCCCTCGGGGCCTCTTGCGGGCTTCCTGGGGCTCTGTTTCCTCCTCCGGACGCCCGCCGAGTTCCGCTGGCGTTCGGCGCGTGGCCAGGGCGTGACTTCCGCAACTAAGGGGTGCTGTGTATTCTTTGGGGATCCACCCCAGCTTCAGGGAATGAGGCCAGGGAGGAATCGGCAAGGTAAAACCGAGAACGACAAAAGCTCAGGGTCAGGGGACGGGAAGGGTCAGGTCAAGGTCAGGGAAAAGTCGGCGACAGTAGAGGAACAAAACGCAGCGTAAACAGAACTTCTCGGAAGTCGCGCGCATTTTTTGGATCGGCGCTGGACACCCCTCTTTGGCACGCGGAGCGCGCCAGTGGCGGCGCCGGCGGCGCCGCCAGGGGTCCCAGCGCCGATCCCAGAGATCCGAACGGAACTCAAAGAAATTATGTTTATGCCGATTTCTGTTCTTCGAGACCTGGCTTTGTAACCAGCCCCGAGCTTATTCCGATTCCTGAGATTGACAAGCCCCAAAGCGATACCAATCTCTGGGATGCGCCCTTAGATTTTTTTTTTTTTTTTTTTTTTTTTTTTTTTTTTTTTTTTTTTTTTTTTTTTTTTTTTTTTTTTTTTTTTTTTTTTTTTTTAAAAACAAAAAAAATACACACACACACACATATATATATATATATATATGTATATATATATAAAAATAAAAAAGGCACGGTTCTCGCCGTGTTATTTAAGTTTGATTCGGAAGGCGGTCGACCTCTCGGTCGAGCAGTTCTCAACTCGCCTCTGCGCGACCTCTGCCCTTCTTCACTCGGGAGCACCCATCTGGAGAAATCGATGGATACCTTGAGATCGGCATCGAAATGGGGTGACGCCAATCACACGGCTCGACGCCGCTTGCTCCCGACGCGCCCACATGTACGACGCCGACACCACGGCAAACCCCACGGCAGACCCTGCGTCCCGCGTCGGGGCTCTGCTGGCCAGGGTCCGTGGGGAGCCCGGTCAGCCAGAGCCTGCAGGATTCTGGTCAGCCCTCCTCCTCCTCCTCCTCCTCCTCCTCCCTCCTCCTCCTCCTCCTCCTCCTCCTCCTCCTCCTCCTCCTCCTCCTCCTCCTCCTCCTCCTCCTCCAGGCCTGGACGCTGCACCCAAATGGACACCCGAAATGGGTACGGAAAGAATGGGCACTATGCCCAACAACAAATGTTGTCCCAAGCCAACAGCGGCCGCTGTTGGGCAGGCGGCCTTCTGTCTCGAGTGGACACAGGCCGCGGCGGCGTGGACAGCGAATCCTGTTGAACATGAACAGGGATTGTTGTTGGGCATTGTACCCATTCTTTCAGTACCCATTTCGGGCGTCCAAAGGTCAGTGCAGCCCTGGCTCTGCAGGGTCCGGCACGATCCGGCGCTCTGACTGACGCCGTTTGCGTCAGGTCGGGCGTGTCCCCCTGCAGGCGGATCTTGGGCGAAAACCCCATCAGCCCTCTGGGCGTCGGTGGTTTAGAGAGTTTCCTCTTCCACCCCTCCTTCTTCCCCTTCGGGGAGGGGTTTATCACTGTTTCCTATTGACATCCCCCCCCACCATCCGTTGTAAACAAACAATACACAAGACACTCTGCTTCCAAATTCGGAGCATGCGCAGCGAACCCGATGCGGCCTCCCCCTACCATTCCTGTCAAACAAAACAATGCAAAATACACTTGGCGGCGGCGGCGGCTGGGGGCAGCGGCTGCGGCGGCTGCGGCGGTGGCGGCGGCGGCGGCGGTTGCGGCTGCGGCGGCGGCGGTGGCGGCAGCGGCTGCGGCGGCAGCGGCTGCGGCGATTCGGCAGCGGGGGTGGCGGCTGCGGCGGCGGCGGCGGGCGGCGCGGTGGCGGCGGCGGCGGCGGACAGCGGCGGCGGCGGCGGACAGCGGCGGCGGCGGCGGGCAGCGGCGGCGGCGGCGGAGGCGGCGGCGGCGGATTCCCCCAGTAGCTGCCCATCCAAAGACGACTGCTGAATATGGCTCGGGCCAGGCTCGGGTGCTGCATATGTGTTGGGAGGGCGGGTGGGAGTGAGCGAGACGGCTTGCGGGCGGGGAGGGAATCTTGACCCCTCCCCCTACCCCCCTTTCCTGGACCTGGACGGAGGGTTCCGCGAATCGTCGGAGCGTCCAAAACGGCCTCGGCGAGGAAGCACAAATCATTGGTTTAACTAGGGTTTTGGCCCCATTTTGGCCTCCTGAGGGGGGAGCTGTAATTAGTACCCCCCCCTCCTGTGATCGATCTCACCCAAGATGGCCCAAAGATGGCCCCCAAGGCTCCCGAGGGTGCCCCAAGAGGGCCCCAAGAGGTGGCCAGGAAGCCCCAAGAGGCCCCCAGGATGCCCCCAAGAGGCCCCCAAGAGACCCCCAAGAGGCCCCAAGAGGCCCCAAGAGACCCCCCAGAGGCACCCAAGATGCTCCAAGAGGCCTCGGCGAGAATGCCAAGTCATTGATTTTACTAAGGTTTTAGCCACATCTTGGCCTCTTGGGGGGGGCACTGACTAAGATGACTCCAAGAGCGCCTGGGAGAGCCCAAGATGACTTCCAAGATGGCTCAATATCTCCCAAGATGTCTCATAATGGCTTCCTCTGTGTGCTGCCCACTTCCCTGATCGAGGCAATTCCTCTGGGCATCGTTTCTAGATGGGCTGGTGGGGATTCGCGAAGCGTCAACAATTGCAGAACAGTCGAAGAATATGCAAGAATAGCCAACAATAGTAGAAGCATCGTCCCCTGACCATTTTTCGATGACTATTTTTGAACAGTCCTCCTGTAGAGGGACATGCCCGACTTCACGTTTGCGTTGGCCCTCGTCCCTGGAGCCCCCGCGCCCCGAGGAGACGCGGCCGGCTCCGCGGCAGAACCTCCATGGCAGGCCCACGGCCGGCCCGGGGGCGGCGTCGTGGCCCCCGTGGCCGCGGCGCCCTGGCCAGGGCGGCAAAGGCCGCGCGTCGGAGCAGGCGGCGCGGGCTGTGGGCTGCCGTGCGGCCAAAACTCTCAGGGGGACCGCCTCGCGTTGAGAACCACATGACGGCGGGAAGTGTTTCGTTCTTTTCGGCCTCCTCCTCCTCCTCCTCCTCCTCCGCCCTCCTCCCTCCTCTCTGGGGGACCCTACCAGGCCCTGGGAGCGTCCAACGACGACTCAGGATGAAGATCCGGCCCCGGGGACGGGGTCGGGACCAATGGGGTGGGGGTGGACGTTGTGATAGAATTACGACGGCGCGGCGACATACGTTTCGGGCTGGTACCCGTCGGTCAGAAGAAGTGGGCAGGGGCATGAAGTAGGAAGGCGGTGAAAGCAGACTGGGCTTCCGCCCTAAGAAGGGGGGGAGAGGGGAAACCGCTCGATCATCGACGTAGGAGGGCGCCCAAAGCAGATTGGGACCTGGGAGTCCAGAAATACCCTGAGATCCGACGTTGGGAAAAAATGCAACATCGCAAAACAATCGCAACTGGAGCCCCGGAGCCCATCTTTCTGCGTCATTTTTTGAGCCGGATCGATCTGTGAGGGTCCCGGGACCCGAAAACGCCCACTGTGAAAAAATGTGCCAGGATCTCAGGGCACCTACTTTCAATGACCGACGCGTAACCTTGTGCTGCTCCCATCGTACTTAAGGACCAAATCCCCAAAATAATTTCGAGCACCCCGAAAAGTATCGAAACAGTGTCGAACGAGTATCGCCTCCCATGGACCGACGCATGCAAACCCTCCAGTTTCGGTCCTTGCTTGGAGCTCGAAATTCTTTCGGTGATCAAGGCTAAAGTAGGTTGGAACGTCAGAAGCTCGGGTCGGGCGAAAGGGGGGGATAGCAAAGGGGGGGGGTGAGAATCAGCTCACGTAGCTGATTTTCCCGGCGCCTCCCGGCGCCGGAGGCGACTATGTATCGAGGAATGGGCCCCTCGGTGAGGCCGAAACCAGCTACATGCAGCAAATTTCGTACCCCCCCTCCCTGGGCGTTCGTAACCCCCCCTCCCTGGCCTCCCGCCTGGGCGTCCGTCGTCGTCTGCCTGCTTCTCCCCTCGTCCCCTTCCGCCGGACAGCACAGCCTGCCCGTAACCAGCGTGGCGGCATATAGGGGCCTGACAAGCTCCGAGCCAGTCAACGGGCTTCTTCCCAGCAACCTTCTTCGTGGCGATGACTTCGTTCCTGAGTCCTTGGGGGGCCCCGTAACCCCCCCTTTCCCAATCCCCCCCTCTCGCCCGGCCCGACAGAAGCGCCACCTTGTACTCGGTCCACTGGGACGTGGCGCGCTCCCTCACCTCCACGAGGTGCACGGAGTCCCAGACGGCCCTGTCCACGCCTCGGCGGCCAGAGGAGGAGGAGGAGGAGGAGGAGGAGGAGGAGGAGGAGGAGGAGGAGGAGAAGGAGGAGGAGCCGCGGGACTCGAAGAGGAAGGGGGGTCCCGGCGGAGCAGCCGCTCTCGCCCTGCCAGGTGCCGCAGTGACGGCGCAGCGCAGCTGGGAGTCGCCAGGAGGAGGGAGAATCTGATGATGATGATGATGATGATGATGATGATGATGATGATGATGATGATGATGATGATGATGATGATACTGATGCTGATGTTGTTGATGCTGGTGACAATACTGATGTTGTTGTTGATGATGATTAAGATCATGATGATACACATTATGATGATCATGATGATGAAGATGAAGATGAAGATGAAGATGAAGATGAAGATGAAGATGAAGATTATGATGATGATGATGATGATGATGATGATGATGATGGTGGTGGTGGTGGTGGTGGTGGTGGTTGTGATGCTGATGATGACGGTGGTGGTGAAGAGGAGGAGTAGGAAGATGATGATGAGAAGAAAAAGATGAGAAGGAGGAGGCGGACCAGACGGAGGGAGGGCGGAGGAGGAGGAGGCGGAGGAGGAGGAGGGGGAGAAGGAGGAGGAATGGAAGGAGGATAACTAATGATGAGGAGGAGGACCACAACAAACCCAGGAGGCGCCAGCGATGCTGCAGTACACCCTCCCGTCCCAAGGCCCCCCCTCCTACGACCCTGCAGGCTTTTCTTCTTCAATGCTGGAAGCGCCACTCCTGGAACGACGAGCACCCCATGGGCCTGCCACTCCAGCGAGAGCTCCATATGTTTAAAAGGTACTGCTTTGCCTCCTTCCGGCGAATGGCACTGAGTTCCATCAGCATGATCCGCCAATGTAGTGCCTTCTCCAAATGCAATCCAATTTCAAAATTGATCGGAGGTGGACCTTTTAGTGAAAACGGCCCAGGACCGACACCGACGGACCTGGACCTGCAACAATGACGGCCGCGACGCCCTCTCGCGAACCGAAAAAGGGCCAATTCGCCAATCGACGTGTCAGGGTAGGTCCGCCCACCATCAGCGGAGCTGCTGCACTAGCTGGCGTGCCTGGCCGCTCACTTTGTTGAGTGTGCTGACCCTTTTTTTGACGACGCCTCAAGCAAGAACCCCATCCGTGAAGAAGAAGGAGCCGCCCTCTTCGTCCGTGCAGCCGGCACCGCTGCTCGAGCTTCTTTCTGGACGTCGTGTTTTTTGCCCCACCGTTGACTCCCCAAAGTCGGGCGGGTAGTAAGGAGGGGTGGCCTTGATGGGTGAATAATAATAATACTACTACTACTAATAATAAGAAGAATAAGAAGAATAATAATAAAACATAATATTAATATTAATAATAATACTAATAATAATCATAAGAAGAAGAATAATAATAATCATAATAATAATAATCATAAGAATAATAAAAAGAATAATACGAATAATAATAATAATGATAAGAAGACGAATGAAAAATAAGAATAATAATAATACTAAGAATAAAAATAATAATAAGAAGAATAATAATAATAATAATAATAATAATAATAATAAGAAGAAGAATAATAATAAGAGGAAGCAGGCCTTAGAAAAATGCCCTTCAGGGCCCCTTGGGGGCACCAGCTGGCTCCAGAAGGGGCCCCAGAGGGCTCCTTCAGAGCCCTTTTCTTCACCCCCCATGTGGGTCGTCCCCCGTTACCACCCGCCCGACAAAAATCTGGACCCATTCCCTGGGACCGTTTTTTGACGCTCCTGGGGCCCGGCAAGGGCCCCGGGAGACCCAAAACTCATGGACAAAAACCTCCCGTCGTGATTTTTCTTCACCGTGCGAGGGGGTGTGGGCCCACCCTTCCTGTGGATTCCGCGCCGTGCGCTGCCCTCTGTGGGCCCCGTGCGCGCCATGGGCCACCGCAAAAGGCACGCTCGGGCTTGCACGCCCGCGCCAGCGCCACCGCCGCCCACGCGCCTCCAGCCTGCCCGGGGCAGCTCTCGCTCCACACCGGCCCCTGCGGGCCCCCTCCGAACGCCACCTGGACCAATCTCTCGGGCCGCGGCCAGCCGTCTACATTGAGGAACGACCCAGACCCCCTCGCGGCGTGCAAAAATCACGACGGGAGGTGTTTTTCCCAACCATCCTGTGGTGTTGGGTCGTCGTTTTGAAGAGACGGTCACCGCGTTCCCTCGTTCCCTCCCTCCTTCCTTCCTCCTCCACTCCCCCCTGCACCGCCCGCATGCGTCACGCACACCGATTTCGGTACACCCCTCCGACGTTTCGTGGCCCCATAGGGAGCTCCACCGAAGGCCCCAGTGCCACCGCCCGCATGCGTCAGCCACACCCATGTCGGCACACCCCTCACACGTTTCGTGGCCCCATAGGGAGCTCCACCGAATGCCCCAGTGCCACCGCCCGCATGCGTCAGCCACACCCACTTCGGCACACCCCTCACACGTTTCGTGGCCCCCATGGGGAGCTCCACCGAAGGCCCCAATGCCACCGCCCGCATGCGTCAGCCACACCCACTTCGGCACACCCCTCACACGTTTCGTGGCCCCCTGGGGAGCTCCACCGAAGGCCCCAATGCCACCGCCCGCATGCGTCAGCCACACCCACTTCGGCACACCCCTCCGACGTTTCGTTGCCCCCTAGGGAGCTCCACCGAAGGCCCCAGTGCCACCTCCCGCATGCGTCAGCCACACCCACTTCGGCACACCCCTCCGACGTTTCGTTGCCCCCATGGGAGCTCCACCGAAGGCCCCAGTGCCACCGCCCGCATGCGTCAGCCACACCCACTTCGGCACACCCCTCACACGTTTCGTGGCCCCCTAGGGAGCTCCACCGAAGGCCCCAGAGCCACCGCCCGCATGCGTCAGCCACACCCACCTCGGCATGGGGAGCTCCACCGAAGGCCCCAGTGCCACCGCCCGCATGCGTCAGCCACACCCACTTCGGCACACCCCTCACACGTTCCGTGGCCCCATAGGGAGCTCCACCGAAGGCCCCAGTGCCACCGCCCGCATGCGTCAGCCACGCCCACTTCGGCACACCCCTCACACGTTTCGTGGCCCCATAGGGAGCTCCACCGAAGGCCCCAGTGCTGCCGCCCGCATGCGTCAGCCACACCCACTTCGGCACACCCCTCACACGTTTCGTGGCCCCATAGGGAGCTCCACCGAAGGCCCCAGTGCCACCGCCCGCATGCGTCAGCCCACCCACTTCGGCACACCCCTCACACGTTTCGTGGCCCCATAGGGAGCTCCACCGAAGGCCCCAGTGCCACCGCCCGCATGCGTCAGCCACACCCACTTCGGCACACCCCTCACACGTTTCGTGGCCCCATAGGGAGCTCCACCGAAGGCCCCAGTGCCACCGCCCGCATGCGTCAGCGACGCCCACTTCGGCACACCCCTCCCACGTTCGTGGCCCCATAGGGAGCTCCACCGAAGGCCCCAGTGCCACCGCCCGCATGCGTCAGCCACACCCACTTCGGCACACCCCTCACACGTTTCGTGGCCCCTAGGGAGCTCCACCGAAGGCATAGTGCCACCGTGCGCCGCCCGCATGCGTCAGCCACACCCAGTTCGGCACACCCCTCACACGTTTCGTGGCACCATGGGGAGCTCCACCGAAGGCCCTAGTGCCACCGCCCGCATGCGTCAGCCACACCCGCTTCGGCACACTCCTCACACGTTTCGTGGCGCCATAGGGAGCTCCACCGAAGGCCCCAGTGCCACCGCCCGCATGCGTCAGCGACGCCCACTTCGGCACACCCCTCACACGTTTCGTGGCCCCATAGGGAGCTCCACCGAAGGCCCCAGTGCCACCGCCCGCATGCGTCAGCCACACCCACTTCGGCACACCCCTCACACGTTCCGTGGCCCCCTAGGGAGCTCCACCGAAGGTCATAGTGCCACCGCCCGCATGCGTCAGCCACACCCATTTCGGCACACCCCTCACACGTTTCGTGGCACCATGGGGAGCTCCACCGAAGGCCCCAGTGCCACCGCCCGCATGCGTCAGCCACACCCGCTTCGGCACACCCCTCACACGTTTCGTGGCCCCATAGGGAGCTCCACCGAAGGCTCCAGTGCCACCGCCCGCATGCGTCAGCCACACCCAATTCGGCACACTCCTCACATTTTTCATGGCCCCACAGGGAGCGATACCACGTGATAGTGGCTATGTGCTCATGTGCGTTTCGTACTCAGCATTTTGCTTGCTTGCTTGCTTGTACTCACAACTTCATGTGGTTGGGTCTTGCGCGCCAAGTTAATTCGCCATTTTCGGCCTCCAGGGGCCCTCACCGGGCCTCGGGACCGTCAAAAAATGACTCAGGATGAAAAACTTGTCCTGGGGAATGGATCCAGACCTCTGGGGGTCGACGTTCCAAAAAAATCACGACGTCGGGGTCTGGGGAGAGGGGCGGACCGGCTGAAGGGGGGAAACATCGAGCTGGAATCGGCGATGCGTGGCCGATAGATCGGCGACAGGCCCCCGATACCCAATCCGCACGATCGTGGGCGGGGTGGGCCATCGGGCCCCTACTAGCGATGAGTGGACGATTTGGGGCCGACGCATCCCCCCTGGGCCCAACCCCCATGCCGTTGCCCCCTGGCGCCCTTGCCGACTTGGCTTTCCGGCGGCTGTTCGGGGCGATCCGGGCGGCCCGGGAACGCCTTCGGCGGGGACAGCTGCTGGAAAGCCGGCAAGAACCCCAGATCCCCGACGTCGTGTTTTTTCCCCAGAATCGATCGACCCTATAGAGGTCTGGAACCCTTCCCCTGGGACCGGTTTCTCATCTTGAATCGTTCTTGACGGTCCTGGGGCCTGGCGAGGGTCCCCGGAGGCCGAAAACAGGGAAAGCCACCTCCCGTCGTGGCTTTCCTTCACGATGCGAGGGGGCCTGGGGCCGGAAGCCCGGCAAGAACCGACGACAACGTTCGAAAAGCTCGCGCCTCGAGGCTGGGGCCTCCGCCCCCTTGGGGCCAGCCTCCCTCGAAACTCGCCCCCCCCTCCCCTCGTGGCCAGTCTCCCTCGACAGCGGAAGCTGGAGCTTCCCCCCCCGTTTGAAAACCTCGCACCTCGAAGCTGGAGCTCCCCCCCTCCCTTTGAGAACCTCGCACCTCGAAGCTGGAGCTTCCCACCCCCGCCCCCTTGGGGGGTCAGGCTCCCCCCGCTGTTGCCCAAACTCGGCAGGCCAGAGGGGCGGGGACCGACCCGTCGCGGCCGAGCCCCGCGCCGCGGCTGTCGCTCGCGACCTTGCGGATGAGGAAGGCTCCGGCGAAGCCCTCCTGCGGGCCACGCCGGCTCTCTCTCTCTCTCTCTCTCTCTCTCTCTCTCTCTCTCTAGATGTATATATATATATATATATATATATATATATATCTCTCTCTCTCTTTCTCCCGTGCCCTTTTCGCCCGAGGGAGAAGGAAGGAGGAGGAGGAGGACGAGAAGGAGGAGGAGGAGGGGAGGAGGGGAGGAGAGGCGAGGAGTAGGGAAGAGGGGCGAGGAGGATGAGCAGGATGAGGAGGGGGAAGGAAGACGGAGGTGGACGAGAAGGGATGATGGTCATGCTGTTGCTGCTGTTGTTGGTTATGACGGCGATGATGAAGATGAGGGTGCAGATAAATATGAAGATGAATATGTGGTTGTTGCTAGTGGTGACGATCATTCTGATTCTGATGTGAAGCTGAGACTGGTGATGACGGTGATGATGGTGATGATGCTGATGACGATGATGACGATAGTGAAACTGATGATGATGACGATGCTGATTCGATGAATCTGCAAATGTATACGTGTGCATGTATGTACGTCCGTATGTGTGTATGTATATACGCATGCATGCATGCATGTGTGCATGCATGCATGTATGTATGTACACCTGTACCTATACATGAGTGCACGGATGTATGTAAGTAGGTGTATGGTATGTATGCCTGTATGTATGTAAGGCTGTCAGTGAGTATTCCTGCCTGTATGTACGTATGTATGCATGAGTTTGTACGTATGTATGTATGCATGCTTGTTTGCATGCATGCATGTCTGTATGTATGTCAGCATGCATGCATGCCTGCATGCCCGCATGCATGCATCTCTGTCTGTCTATATGCATGTACGTATCTGTACGGATGGATGGTTGGATGGATGGATGGATGTGTGCGTGTATGTATGTATGCATACATGTACGCGTGTATGCATGTCTGCGTGACTGTATGTATCTATGTGTGTATTCATGGACGCCTGTATGTATGCGCACCTGTGTGTATGCATGCATGCACGTAGGTATATGTGCGTATGTAGGAATGCATGTCTGTGTCTATGCACGCGTGCATGCGTGTATGTATGCCTGTATGCTTGTTTGTACACATAAATATATGCATGTACATATTTATATATCTATATATATATATATATATAAATAAATGTATGCATTGCTGTTTGTATGTGTATCTGCATGTGTGCATATACACACGTATGTACGTGTATGTAAGTGTGCCTGGGTGTACGTATGCCTTCATGCATGCATGTATGCATGCATGCATGCATACATGCATGTATGCATGTGTATATATATATATATATAGATATATATTTATACACGCACACGCACGTGCATCTACACATATATACAAATATATGTATATGTATACCTATGCATGTATGCATGCATGCATGCATGTATGTATGCATGCACGTATATAACTACTCTTGCATTTTTATTGCTCGGATCCCGCCCCCTAAACCAGACCTCCTCCCCCCAAGGACGCCCCCGACGAACCTTCGAAGAGTCCGGGGGGCCTTCCAGACAGTTGGACGCCCCTGCCGAGCTTAGCCCACAGGCCCCAAACGGTCCGGTAGGCAGGCAAACAGCTCCACGAAGGCGCCATGCGGCTCCTTACACCCCCTAAACACGCCCGACGACGAATCACAGGGGGCGTTTTAAACGCAAAAGGAAACATATGCTAGCACCTTACGAAGCAAAAGCCGTCGCATTTCCTCAGGACAACGTGCATTTTCTTCTCATCACTTGCACTTGCGCGGGCGGAACGCCGCCGAGCACCACCTACAAGCTCCCGAGACGCCCATGGGGCCCCCAAGGCGGCCCCAAGACATGCCAAAAGGGCCCCAGAACGGTCCAAGAGGCAGCCAAGACGGCCCCAGAGAGCCCCACGAGATCCCAACAGGCCCTGCAAGAGACCACTCGAGCTCACATTTCCGGGCCTCCGCCCCTGGTGCACCCCAAGATGCCCCGAACAAATACCCTACGACGCTGAAAGGCGCCCCCGAAAAGGCCCAACGCTCTCGCCCACGAAAAGGCGCTAAAAGGCGCCCACGAAAAGGCGCCCACGAAAAGGCTAAAAGGCCGAAAGGCGCCCACGAAAAGGCGCTAAAAGGCGCCCACGAAAAGGCCCTACGACGCTAAAAGGCGCCTACGACGCTAAAAGGCGCCCCCCCCCCCCCCCCCGAAATACCAAAGCCTTCTGGCCTCCTCGACGGCCCCGGACTGGCTTCCGAGAAACTTCCCACGAGACGCACTGCTGTGTTCAACGCGCCTCCCTTAGGCTTCGGTCCGAAGTGTCACCAGGAGCCTCCTCACGGACTCGCACGGCCCCAAAGAGGGCTCCAAGAGAAGAGAACTTCGTAACGGCCCAAGACGGGCCCGTGGTTCGCAGGGCGGTGCTCCCAAGGGGCCTACGGAGGCCCCACGAAGGCGCCCTGGAAACCCCCAGAGGCTTCGGGAAACGCCCACCAACCAAAGTGCCCGCCGATCGAGCCTTCTCTGAGCTACTGCGGCTTCGTCGGCGTGTCCTTGGAATTAGTCGCCTTCTCTACTACCTCGTTCGGGCGCTCCCTACTTCCTCCAGGGAGGAGCTGAGACAACGGAGGCAGCGGAGCAGACGAGAACAGGCAGAGGAAGGAACGGGTGAAAATGAACCCCAGAGGAGGCGGATGAGGAGACGGACGGAACTCTGCTCCCTGCCTCCTCCCATGAGGGGCGGGACAAAACGGAAAAGGTGAATGGAGGAATCGAAACATAGAACGGCGGAAGAGGCAGAAGAGGCGGATGAGGAGAAAGACAGGATTTGCTCTCGTGCATTTCCGCACCGCACTCGGCAATTCCTGCCCACTTCGGACTGAACTCCTCCTCCTCCTCCACGCTACTCTCCCGTCCACTGTTCATGGACAGGTGCTATCGCAACAATTTGATGCTTCGTCGTGTCCCGGCAACTTGTGCGCGTAAGCAACTCATTCAATCCTCCCCGCTTCTGCGTAAAAGCACGCAGGCGCATTGGGCGAATACGTTGGCTGCAGGCACCAGGGATATCAGAGAGCTGAGCAGGTCGCCCGTCCAGACCTCGATATCCCCTCTGCTAAAGCAAGCAACTACGTATTGTTTTTTTCGGGGAAGCACCCTCGAGCAAGGCGCATGGCGCGAAGCACCAACGCAGCCTATATTGTGTATATACATTCAGGTATACGTATGTTTATATGTATGCGTACCTGCATGTACGTCTGTCTGCATGTGGATATGTGTGTATGTATGTGTGTACGTATGCATGCATGTATGCATGTATGCATGTATGCGTGTATGTATATCTGTATGCATGCATGCAAACATGCATGCGTGTCTGTGTGTAGGCATGTCTGTATGCATGCATATAAGTATGCATGAACTCATGCATGTATGTCTGTATGTATGCATGCATGTGGGTATATCTGCATGTAGGTAAGTATGCAGACATGTCGGTATGCAAATGGGCGTGTGTGTATGTATGTTTGTACAATATGTATGTATGCATGCATGCATGAATGCATGTATGTACGTTTAGACATTTTTTTATATATCCACACATGTGTATATTTGAATTGGACGGGGGGGAGGCGGGGCTCCGGGAAACTTCGCGTCGCCCCGGCTATTCCCTTTGAAGTTCTTGCCAGAACGCACCCCCAGGGAGGTCTCGGGGCTGACATCTGGAGGAATGAACAGGAGGAGGAGAAGGAGGGGGAGGAGGAGGTGGAGGAGGAGAGCGGGGGAGGAGGAGGACGAGGAGGAGAAGGAGGAGAAAGCGGAGTGAGAGAGTGGCGGAAGAGGAGGGGGATCATGATGGGTGGATAATGTCCTCGACGGGAGTTCAGTTCCAAGCGCAAGCAGAGTGCACACGTCAACAAAGATAAACACAGGCCACCCTATCCCAGGACGGGACACGCGGACGGGGACATCTGGAGGCACATATCTGCATAGAGTCACAACTGTGCCAGCCCATACAGACACGACGACGCAAGCACACGCTCTCAGGCGCAACTGAAGAGAAAGAGGGATACACATGTATGTATGTGTTTACACACATATATATACATATATATGTGTGTATATATATAGAGAGAGAGAGAGAGGGAGCGAGAGAAGGAAATATAGAGAAATAGAGAGAAATAGCGAGATACATAGAGACATACACGCACACACACACACACCTATTTATGCATGCGCATACCTCTCTCTATATATATATATATATATATATAAAAGTGTATATATATATATATAAAGAGAGAGAGAGAGAGAGAGAGAGAGAGAGAGAGAGAGAGAGAGAGAGAGAGAGAGAGAGAGAGAGAGAGAGAGAGAGAGAAAAAAAGAGAGAGAAAGAGAGAGAGAGAGGGAACGAGAGAGAGAGAGAGAAACAACAAACAACGAGAACGAGAACGAGAGAAAGAGAGAGAGAGAGAGACCAGTAAAGACGCGCACAGACGCGCGCAGAGACACAAACATCCACGTAGACACACACGCGCAGAGATGGACACATGCACGGACATCCGTGCTCAGCTCGGCCCTGGGCCCTCCCAACTTCCAAAGGGCGGGCGCTGACGCCGACATGCCCGCGTGGAGGGGCGTCTCCTCCAGATCCCACAGATATGCCGACGAGACGCCGCCGTCGTAGTCCGCACGGCCCCCCTTTGGAGGCGGCACGGCCCAGGCATGGAGGACTCTCCCTGCCGTGGCTGCTTGCGCAGAGCGAGTACGGGGGAGGGGGGCGCGGCTTCTTCGAGGGAGGCTGCTCCCTAGAAGGCGCCGGCCCTACACTTGCAGACCAGGCCCGCGCTTTTTGTCAAAAGCAGGGGTGCTTCAGGGGAGCTGTCCTCCCTCCCCCTGCCCCCCCTTCT